CAGTCTACTCTTCCAAGATGACTATATTTCGTTATTTATTTATGAAATAAATCTCAGCAATATTACATGAATCGATGCACTGGATCAGCCTTTTTCCAACGGTGAAAACCGCAGCTGTCTATCATGTTCCTACCACAAGTTAACCAAAAAACAAATACTCATCCACGTTTTTTTTTTAAATGGATATTAATTATTGAAAAACAATCAACGACATACGTGTATAAAGATTTTCTGATAAGACATAAAAGCAATTTGTGCGATCTAACAAAAATCGTAGGAAACTTCAACTATTTGAAAACAAAATAGTGCTAATCCAATGTGACAATATTATTATCTATTTTGTCGTATTTCAAAATGAAGAAGTTAACTGCTCATTTTTCCAGTTGTCTTTCAAAAACAATTGATGACAATCGTTCTCTCATTTTCCTTGAATGTATTTCATGTAATAAAAATCAAGTATCACAAGCTGGTTTCGATCAAGTTTCTTAAATTACTTCGCTGGTTTTATGGATAAATTTCCTGTTAACAAAAAGAGAGAACCATTAGCAAATATTTCATCTATTTCAGACTCTATTCATTTAGTTTAATCAGCGATACCCGAATACAAATACAATTTATATTTGGGAAAGTTAAGACTCTCGATATACTTTTATCTAGTCGGATAAAACCTAGAATTTATAAACCTTGTAATTCCTCATCTGTGCTCTGATTTAGTGGGTGGGTATGACGTTTGCTTATGCATTTCAGTACATAAAATAACACGAGAGTGCATTAGAATAGAAATTTTTCAAATTCTACACTTTTTTCCAGTATAGAACAGTATGAATTCTTCAAAATTAAAAATTCTACTTTTCCAAACACAGTTGAACATATTACAGTGAATTAGAATACATGAAAGTATATGAGAGTACCTGATCTCACAAATTCTCTAATTTTAAGTGTGGGGAGAAGAGAGCGAGTCATATTCTTTCCAGTACAATTTCTACTTGTATTTTTGTAGTTCTCGTAGATCTTTATTTCATAGAATATCTAATAACATTTACTATTTATTTACCTCTTTCATAAGAGAGGATTATCGTTTGACATCGTCTACATGTATAAATTCGATAGGACAAATGCATAAATGAGACGTACGTGGAACATTAATCACATAATGAAACTCATTTTCCCTACACATATGGATTTCAATGAAAATATATCAATTTCTCTTTAACTCCTTTCAATTTTTACTTATAAGTTGAGATATGCATGAAGGATGTGTGGAAAGATAACGATTTATAATTAATAAAAATTATTTATAAGGGAAAGATTCCGTAAGATAAAAAAATGATCGACTTCTCTCTTTACTTTTTTCGTTCCTGCTTATGTATGAAGATATGGATGAAGGCCTTCTTGAAAAATAATAATTTCTAATAGAAAAAATTCATTTTTAATAGAAAAACCCCCAAGATGAAAAAAGGGAAAAGCTTTGTTTCTCGATGTGTTTTTGATTTCTGTTGATGAATAAATAAACTGATTGAGTAGTTTTCTTTCTCATTGTTCGTTTTCCATTGTAGTGATGCGGTATAATTCAGTTATGGTATTCATAGAAAAGAGCGTTTTCTTCTTACTTTATGTGATTTAAGCATTTATGCTTGAAGTGTAACAATTTCTCTTTGAGAGAGGAAAATGTTCGAGCCTTCTACAAACACCATTCGAAGTAACATTATGAAAAAAGTATGTTTTTCGTTTTAAATCTGATTAAGCTACATTATGACTTAAATACGAAGAAATATTATATAGATTGTGAATGTAGAAAATGTGAACAGTCGAACAATATCTAAATGATTGGACTAAGTTCTGATTTGACTCTGCAGAGTATTGATCTTCTAATCGAGCAAGAGAATCGTTAAAAAATAGTCAGATATGTAATTATTTAATTGAATTATTCTTCTAGGTCATGCAATAGACTTTGAAAATATACATATCATTGAATGAAGAAAGTCTCTTTCTACAGACTTACATCAGTCACCTTCTGTAGTCAAAATCTTATAATCGCCTTTCTTGTTCATAATCTGATAAATTTTTTCAAAAAAAAACAAAATTATATATTCTAACAATGTCTATTATTGAAATTGAAACATCAGAAACTTGAATGGCTAGTAAAATCTAATATTTTGATATGTTTGCCATAGATCTTGGTGTTCCTCTATTCAAATGAAATCGAAAACAAAAAGTAACAGGAAGACTATTGATGCGTTTGATTTGATCAAGCTCATGTTCTCGATGAATTTTTAAAAAAGAGAATTTGACATGATTGTTATGAAAATTGAAAGTGTCATTATATCGGTCAAATCATTTTCAACTTCAGTGTGAGTGTGTGTGTGGATGTGGTTGTGGGGAGGGTACCTGTGTTAACTTATTGAAAATTCATATGCACATCCATGATCCGTCTTAGCATAATTATGAGATTATTCAATGTAGGTATCAAGATAATATCTTCTTTGAATGAACATGTGTCGAATATCATCAAAAGATGGTTTATATTCTTTGTAAAGAAACATATGTTCGATAACGATGTCAAACAAACATATATATAGATGTGACATTTAACTGAATAAATACGTTATTATCTAAATAACCATCATCAATTAATAAAGTTCTTTGACTAAGACGAATGTCAGTGTTCCTTGCTTCAATGTCATTTATTTAACTGTAACAAATTATAGAATTTGACTGATCATTCGATTCTTTTTAAGAAGAATAAAAGCGGTTCTATTGATGAAAAAACTATCACAATTGGAGTCAAAATTCTATACAATTTTTTTTATTTAATGTAAAAAAAACATAGAAGTGGATCATTGAGAATTTATCAATAGAAAAAAAATTGTGAATTCTATCTTTGATAAGAAATATAAGAATAATTTAAAAGACTTGCTGATACAGCAGAGTTTATGAAATCGTCTTGACAAATATTATTTGTGGAAGAAAGAATTATTTTCAAGAAATAAATAATGATGCTGAGGTTGAAATACTGTTAAAGAAAATTTATAGAAGTGTTGTGTTCAGTAACCAGTTCTGTTTAACATTGTTTTCCTACTTTAGTGAATCTGGATCTATTATAAAACTTCTCTCAGATTGACATTGCCAAACATAATCCATATAAATAGATTCGCATTCAAACAATGTTTTAAATGTTGTTAGATTAATAAGAACTTTTTCTGTGAAATAAAATAATAGAGATCATTTCATTTTATTAGAATTAAAAGTGTCTAAATCAAAATTAGATAAATTCGAGTCATCTGTCATAATAACTAATTAGTTTGTGTGAATTTTCATGATTGTTTGAATAATAGGAAAGAGTTCCATATGACAAGTTGCGATGTGTCGGTTCAGATATCGATCAGATCTTCACTCTCACACACAATAAATCATTTTAGATCCTATCATGAAAATAATACAAATGAGTTGCAATGATCTATTTAGTGCGCAAAACAAGTAAAGAATAAATATGAACTACGATACAAACTTCAATCATTTCAATTTGTGAAGGTACAGAAAACAATAGAGTCTATTTTGCGAGCCCTATTTTTTTATTCGGATCTTTTTTGAAGAAAAATTAAAAAAAACACATTGTAATTGGCGTGTTTTTGATTCTGACAATTAAATTTACTAAGGATAAATCTATAGAAGGAAAAGGCAGAAGTCTAGAAAACAAAATATCTTTTTTTCGAACATTGCTTAACTATTTATAAACTTGAATAAAGAGATCATATAGATTTATCGTCAATGAAAAAAAAAGAGAACTAAGTTTTGCTATTTTTATTGAGATAACGAATGCTCTATAACAAACGGTCGCACTTTGCATTGCATATTTTAATTTCGAAATACATATTATTAAAACAAAAGCGAAATATACCAAGAGATGCAACTTGAAAATCTCTACAAACTATAAAGTAAAGCTTATTTTAATTGTTTGCTTTTTGTTTTCATAACGCTAAATCCTGTAATCAATTTCGACCATTGCAAAAAAAATCATTTTTTCCTACACGAATAGAATATTCTTGTATCTTTTTACCGCACAATATGCTTTGATAAGAACAACAAAAGATACAGTGTGAAAAGTTCTACAAATCACACAGAGCAGTTTATTTTATACATGAAATAATAAAAAATGAATTTTTCATCCATGTTGAAAAAATAATGCTTTCACAACGACGAATATTGATCCTACATTGTTCTGAAAAGAAAAACTACGCGATTCAAATAAGCTATACGGTCTAAATTGTCGAGTTTGTCACGCTGAATATTGTGCTTTACTTTTTTTTCAAAATAAAACATATTAAGTGATAAAAAAAATGGAATAGGATAAAAGAAATTTCTTGTTCGTGTAGAAAACATGATGTTTTCGCAAAGACAAAGAAAGACCTTATAGAATTTTCCTATTTTTAAATAGAAAAAGTGCACAATTTTAAAAATCTTTACATTGTAGATTGTCGAGCACTTCACGCTGCGTCTCGTGGTATTGTTCTTTTTTATTTTTAATAGCACGTATTTTGAAATAAAAATATGCAATACAAAATGCGATCATTTATTATGAGACATTCGTTAGTTTTCTTACTTTATGTTTATGTCATTGATTCTTCTGTCATATCTTTCGGAAATTTTTTGCCACCATTGTGCAGATAACTTAACAAGTCCATTTAAAAAAGCTCTAGAAAAAATCTTATCAAGCGCAATCATAAATAGATTTGACGTACGTGTGGCTGTGGTTATTGGTTTGAATGATGTACACTGCCACATCCCTACACCCTATTTAGTAAGTGTTTTATTTTATTTTCAGATTATGAAAGTCACAATTATGCTTTAGTTACTGTTGACAAGACTGCTACAAGAATTTTATTTTGAAGAAACAATATCAACTGCAACAATTAGAAAATTTGCTTTTATTTTCAATTGTTTGACAAGAATATAGACCAAGCTTTTATATTAATAAGTTTAAATCCTGGAGTAATTGTGATTCATCGATTTATGCTATTCGTTTGGTTGATAATTGCAGGAGAAACATGTCGATCACGTTTCGGAAGCCATTTTCGATAGACTGCAGGCATACCAATAAGACAAATAAATGGATGTAATAAACCAACGAGATGAAATAAATAAAAAAAATATAATTGTTGTATAATCGTACTAAGATTAGTTGGATCATAAATCATATGATAACATTGAAGAGATCCATATGCCAAATAACCAGACATATACAAAATAGCTACTGGAATAAATTGTATTATGATTTTACGATGTCGTCGCCATTCCATTACTTTTCTCATCCGATAATGTTTTTGCCAGAAAATACGAAACCATAATCCTATATTTACAAAAATAATTAATAGAGAAGGTATTAATGAATTGACAAATTGATCAAATAGACCGAGTATATGATTATCAAAGGCAAAACATAAACTACCACAAATTACAAAATGATAATCAAATTTATTTTCACATGGATAAATAAAAGCCCCATATATATAAAATGAAATGAGATATACAAATATAATTATAAATGGAAAATAATGTATTAATAAACGCTTTTGTTGTGTATCAAAAAATTTTCGATAATGAAAAATAAGAATATATCGTTCAATTGATATCCATAACATCAATACACAAACAATTGCATAAAGAAGCATATCGAAGAAAATCCACATACGGCAATATCCATCAATAGTTGGATTTACAACACCAGTACGTAAAAAATCAAGAATCATAGATAGATCAAACATAACAGTTATTATACCAACAAATAGTAATAGTAATGGACCATGATTATGAAGTGCTTTTAGATTATTTCGATTAGATAATATATTATGAATTGAAGCTATATAACAAATTATTGAAGGTATTTGAAGTGATATTAATATAGCAAATTTTATAAGACGACTATTGAGAGTTTCCATCGATTTAGATAATTCTTTGTTTTCTAGAAATATATAACATATTAATTTTAAATTAATTCTACGTTTCAGTAGATAAACTTTACAAAGTAATGCATCATACAATATGCACATAGTACTTATTTGATAAAAGATTTATCTATTCTGTTTTATATTTTAAATTAATAATCTATTTAATATTTTGAGCAAATATATTAGACAAAAATATATCTCTGATTAAATCAATCTAACACAAGTTAGTTATTATCAAGTACGTTTTTATAATATCTATATCATTAGGGACGATTAATTTTGCGTTATGTAAAGGATCAATGTGAAATTGAATCTGTTCGACAACATAAAGATATTCTAATACTGTCAGAAAAAAAATTGCTAAAACTGTTATTTGATGTAACTATCTGATTATTCTCTTAAATCAATTAATGTTATGATGAGTCAATAATCAATCTGATTATGTCGAACAAAATTTCAACGAAAAAAAAATATGAAAATTTTCGTCTATCGAAGCACGGAAAATACTTTAGCATATACTTCTATACATTTATATTTCTCTATGTTTTATAGAAGAATAAGATTGTTCTGACTGGCTCATCCTATGTCATTATGAACTCTTAGAAGGAAAAAATGAAAATTTTACTTATAGAATACCATGATGACTTATGAATGAGTCACATTTTATAAGACTTTTTTGGGTGTGGGTGTGTGGT